CTTGTCAGTGTTGAGCATCATGAAAGAACCTGAGCTTATGTTTGATCAGGTATATAAGACCCTCTTTGGTGATGCTCCTGCAGGAAAGAAGTGGCTGCCCAGATATTATTCTACTTCATCATTGAGGATTTTGTATTCTATTGGGGCCATCGGATCTTGCACACAAAATGGCTGTACAAGAACGTGCACAGTGTGCATCATGAGTAAGTTTCAGTCTTCACCATCCTTTTACATTTTTGAATCTTGAAATTGTCAGTTTAGATATATTCTGAATGAGCAACCATTTTATGATATTGCAGATATGCCACACCATTTGGTTTGACATCAGAATATGCTCACCCCGCTGAGATTCTATTCCTCGGTTTTGCTACCATAGTCGGTCCAGCTCTCACCGGCCCCCACTTGATTACCCTCTGGTTATGGATGGTACTGAGAGTGCTTGAGACAGTTGAGGCACATTGTGGTTATCATTTCCCATGGAGCCTCTCAAATTTTCTTCCTCTGTATGGAGGGTAAGATCACACATCTAGCCAGATCTTGTGAACTTACGACCTATAATAGATTGTAATAATGGAAATTTCAATATTTTGTTTACAGTGCTGACTTCCATGACTACCATCACCGTCTCCTCTACACAAAGTCTGGCAACTACTCTTCAACTTTTGTCTACATGGACTGGTAAACCTCTGAACTATTATAATCTCTTTGCTTTCGAAGCGAGATCTTAACAAATTCTTCTCGGTGTTCTTCAGGATATTTGGAACCGACAAGGGCTACAGAAGACTGAAGACCCTTAAAGAAAACAGTGACACGAAGCAAACATGAAATGGCCAGTTTGGATTGCAGAGTACATTTGTCGCAGGAAATGTGGGTTTGCGTTTGCGAAGGTCATTTTGCATCTCCTTGTCCTTGAGAGGTCTTATTCTGCAACCTCTCCTTTTCTCTTCCATTTTGCTTTCCGTGTTGCTGCAGCTGTTCTGTCTTAGTTTGTTACGTGTGTCTAGAGTTGCCTCAAATGTAGCATCCTTGAAAAACATGTGTCTAGAGTTGCCTCGAATGTAGCGTCCTTGAAAAACATTTGGTACTTCAACTCTCGGAGTAGCTAAATTAGTTTGTGTTTGTGTTGAGCAATTGAAGCATTTTGGTATTCGTCATCTGTTTGATCTGCTGCTTAATGTCATTCTCTCGAAT